AGACTTAATGGCAAAAGCGATGAATACTGCATGGCAGGCTTCCCTGTATGACACAAGGGATAAGGTAAGTAGGCATGGATGGCGTTTTAAATAAAATGTGGGCTTAATAGAGCTAAAATGTTTGGTTGAAACCATAAACCCGTTGCTCTTGTTTAAGAGACGTTAACTAAGATACTATACATTTATATCTATTGATTAGCAATCTGACCTCTATTTCGAGGATTAGAGAGAATGCATTAAGTTTCTTAAAACTTAATCATCCCTTTAGATAGCGTTATGTATCTTCTTGTCTGGTGAAGTAGCTATTAAACCGTCATTGAGTTGTCTTATGTTGTAAACCCTAAGAGATAAGCAAACGAGCCTTAGGTATTTAGGAGCAAGTGCACTACATTTATATTCACAGAGGGATAAGTTACCAAAATAGTGCTAATTTTTTGTATCATGGACATGACTAATTTCTCCAGATAGCTTTATAGTGTTGTTGGTTCCTTACTACACGATCTTCGAAGCTGAGAGTATGATTAATAGGAAGAGTTACATTCAACAAGTAACACGATGAGAAAGTCAGCGATGGTGAACGTGGCATCAGTTAGTCAAGGAAGCATGGCCAAGATATACAAGCGCGGTTACCCTGTCTAAAATCTTGCTTTTTGTTTCAAATGTAATAATCTCTCCTCAGCCCAAATGTGTTCTTCAGAAGCGCTAGACGTCATATTCCTGATAGCTATGATAGGACGAGTTAGTATATACAATTGTGTGACTTCCACGTAAGATCTTATGGATAATACTGCCACATTCTGACAAATCTACAATTTTGAAATTAGATCCATTGTTATAGCAGCACAGATCATTACAGAAACTGCTCACAACAGACTTAGTCCATCACATCGCAGGTGAGTATGTGGCACATGTAACATGAATTCTGAGAACTCACTGAACAACATCATTCTATTGACAGGTCTAAAAAACGTTGTCTGCTAGCCTGAAAGAAAGGTGAAACGGATAAGCATGCGAAGACGTGCAATGAAGTAAAGAAGAGGGTATCGACAACATGCGTATCGAAGGAACTCGCAATGACACTAGTTCCGATATTTTGAAGCTTAGCATCGTCATAATCAACAGTATTAGACCCTGTTAGCATACTTGGTTCTCTCAGCACAGGCTCCCTAATTACAACCGTTATCCCGAAAATCCTGTGGGTGACTGGACCCTCGTCAACAGATTCAAAAAAGATCGAGTTTCGCCGTCGTAAAAGATGAACAGCTCGATTCTTGCAGTGAAAACTGCTAGTCATTCGACCACCCAATCTAGGTTTAAGATTGTCCAGCCAGTCAGCAAATAGCACGTGAATCCGAAACGCATTCGAAAACCTGGGAAAGCGATCACGGTTCGAGATGATTCTCTCACAACCGTGGACCTAAAAGACTGATCTAACTCCCCCTCCCACCAATCTGCAGGGCAAAATGACAGGATGCTCTAGGAACAGTTGATAAGGAAGCTCCAGATTCCCAAAACTAAGCCATTGATGATCACAAGCCCACTTCGTGGAAGGAATCTAGGGACAAGGATAATCTAAAACTACTTCGTGTAACGCTCACTAACATTGTCGGCGTAGAGGATGTTCTACTAGCTGATCATTTACCGAAATCAGATCGGGATGTAAGAATACTGTCTGATATGACGCAATCTTATCAAGTACATTTCTAAGAAATCACGCGGAAGGAATATCATTGTGCAAGTTGGGCCGAAAAATACGGATCTTAACTGCACAAACTGATATCCCCATCCCCTATATGGAGGCTGCCACTCTCGGACCATTTCGTGCCAACAGACTCTGGTCACCAACTGCAATCCATGTGCATCCGGAGAAGCCACATGATGCCAGGATCAGGCACAAAAGAAAGTAGGGGCCGACTATTCCACTTATGGACTATCAAGACCATGTAAAAGTATAGAAGATATGAGGGCTAACGACTCGGAAAAACCTGTGTAGATGGGTTCATATCCATTCACATAAGGTTCATTCAAACAAACTGGACGAGGAAGCTCACGTGATTCAAATCGGAAGCAACAACTGCTTACATATGAATGCTGTTATTTTCTGAACAAAATGTATTGCGTGAACTAATGCTAGTAACATTCATCTGATAGGAATGTCTGAAACATGGGCGACTCCCCAAATTACGAACCAGTGACTAGCAATACCCGACTTATCTTTATTCGGTTACGACAGAAAAACAGGAGTGGGGGCTGAGTAGCTATGTACCTGAGATCTTGCTTGATACCACTAGAAGTCTACACTCAAGAGTTTACCACTTTTGATGAATCTGTGTGGTGTTCTGGAAGATTATCTCACACATCGAGGTGTCCAATAGAAGTCACCTACAGGAAGCCCACCATCGACGTCAAGTTTGACAATCGTATGATGGAAGGACTATCCCTCTCTACTCGTCTCGGAAGTTCTTTTGTCCTGCCATAAACGGTTGATGGGTAACAGGTTCTATAGATGTATGACCACTGGTAGTAGGCAGTCGATTGTGAGTTTCTTTTGACGTTTTAGGGTATTTGTAAGCGTCATTTAGCGACTGAGTATTGATAGGTCCAGTGAGTTGCCTGTCTACTTCAATTTTAAAACAAATTGAGGGAGGGGAAATTATCTAATACAACTACAAAATAGGGAGATAAGGCAATTTAGTCTATATATGTAGAGAGCCCATGATGTCTGTGTGGAACGCGTATGTGTTCGTTTGCGCTAGATCTGTGCAGGTGAGGGCTTGATCGATAAGTATTACAAACGTATGTAATTTATCTGCCATGCGTATTTCAAAAGGAAGACTGTTCCATATCAATGCGTACTTGATAAGCAAAAAGTTTTCCCGAGTTTTTGGTCTGCATTTTTCAGTTTTGACAGTGGATACTTTGTCTCGAAGGTTGTATCCATGTGAGTCTTGGTAGAGAACTATATTACATGTGGAATAAATAAGGTCTTTAAGGAGTTTGAAATAGGGAATCAAGTTACGAAGAATGAAGCCAAGCAATCTCCGCATTTGAGATGCTTTACTTGAGATATATACTGAGAGGTTAAGACTGTCTGAGTAATGTACCACTATGTCAGTTACTGATGTCAGTCTGAGCAGTGGGTTTTTGTTAAGTGCTAGTTTTATTTCAAGGGACGTGTCTTCATTACATAGCCAACCACATTTCTCTGTGTTGAGCTCTAACCCCCAGCGTTTGCACCAGTTGTCTACTTTGTCTAGTTCATGTTGGATAGTTTGCATAGTACTTCGTACATCACCAATGTCAGTTTTATAGATGATTTTCAAGCCATCAGCGTAAAGGTAGGTCTTACCTGTGGTAAAGCACTTGCATACATTGTTGATATATATTATGAAGAGCAATGGGCCCAAGACACTACCCTGCACAACATCACTGGTTATTGGTCGAGGTGTAGATGTTGTAGAGTTAATTTTGGTTATTTGGTATCTGTTTGTGAGGAATGACTTAATCCATTGTAATAGGGGGTAGGGTCAACCTCATATGTCTTATCAATAAACTCAGACGATTGGGAATCAAACCACCTCTAATTGACTGACTCACTTCATATCTAAGAAATCGACATTTTAAGGTCAGGGTTAACTTCACCTCCTCTCAGGTTATGGAATGTCCTAGTTGGATCCTCCAGGGTTCATTACTAGGACCTCTTCTTTTCTTGATTCATATAAACAATCTTGTACAACAGGTGTCGTCTGACTTATTGCTTTTTGCTGGTGATGTGAAACTCAATCTAGCGGCTGTAGAAGTGAAGCACGGTGTACTCTGTGGTGGACCTCAGGGAAAGAGCTTAGTTAAAATATAACAATACGCAAAGTTACCAACAATATACCAAAAAGGATTAACACTACAAACTTAAGCGTGTGTCTATGATTAACGCAAAAGGTAACATATTACAGTTAAATTATAAAAAGGTATATTGAACAACAAATTGGTAACAGTGTTATGAAATGAATGTTACTTGTAAGCTGCTTTCTGAGATAACAACCACAAATAAGTTCACTTGGTTAACAAAGGTTCCTCTGCACGTGATGGCACTAACAGCAAAATGAAGAAGATTAGATCCAGTAGTATTATTCAGTAATGATCCGGGCCAAAGCACCAACGTAGTGTGGAATGGCCTAAAAAGATGTTATAATACTATTATAATCTTCAACCAAAGGCCGTGGCCGTTAAAGCAGAAGGATAGACGGCGGATACAACGCTTATATTTTAAGAATCGTGGTAGTGAAGTCGTGTTATATTTAACCAAACAAAAGTATTCGTTTCTTTTCCATTGATACAGAAAAACAATAGATATCGAATATAAGTGTGGTTACATAAAAGGTGTGACAAATAGAAAAAATATGTGGTCTTTAATTTGTTTTTGCAAAAAATCACTAGATATAAATGTCACTATAACCCACTCCTGATATGGTGCGGATGTGCGACCGGGAGCCTTGAGCTTGGTGGGCCTGTAGATGGTGTTCAGCCGCGATTCACAGTTAATAGATGCTCTTCCACTAATCTTACTAGGTATCCTCAATGAAAGCCGATATTGGATACACTGCATCACAACTCTTTTATGGAACAACACTACGACTTCAAGGAGAATTTGTGGATCCTTCATCTTCTTCAGTGAACATGGATCTAAACTCCTACACGAGCAGGCTTACAAACGCAATGCGTTCAGTTAAACCTGATGCGGTCAGCATCAAATATCGAAGATTTACAGAGCTGATGATTTTGGTGATTAATTTACCACTACAACGTAATATCAGCACTTTCCATTGATTTATTTTAAACGAAATTAAACCTCCACAGCGGTACAAACCTCAAGGATTATTATAGACCGACAGACCTCTCCTCTTAATCACTGCAGATTGTGAACTGAATTTGAAACCATTTGAACCCATTTGAGGTGAGCTTCTCAAGGTCGCCAAAATAATAAAGCGGTAATCTAATCTCAAATGTTGTCATGTGTTTTTCGAAGACTTTTCAGTCAGCTCGGTTTGGGAACTCCTAGTTTGACCCTATCTTTCCTAAGTCTTATTCCTAAGGCTTCTGGTAACTTATAGTTTTACTGTGATATGTTTCATTCTTCAGTTTCCAGCTTGCCGGCCTTTGTATATAAATCCCATGCTTGTGGTGAGCTGAGTACTCAGCATATCAACTCAACCGTTACAGTATGCGGATGGCTTGAGCATTGTCGACTGTCATCTCGTTTTCTCGTTCTTCGTGATGATCGTGGTTTAATACAAATATATTGTGACAAAAATTCTCTCCAAATTCCGCAATTTAATTCTGAGTCTGTCCTGAGAGTGACAGGTAAAGTCCAAGCACGTCCGGAAAAAGATGTAAACAAGGTATTGTTATTTGTGTTATATTTTAACTTCAAGCGTATGCCAACTGGCGAAATTGAAATAGTTGCTGAAAGCATTGAAATCCTCAGTCATTCATCTCCACTTTCCTTTCTTCCGAAAGATGCGGCAAATGTTAGTTGTTATCCTACGATCACTCGGTTATTTTAAGGTCAACGAAATGGAAAGATTAAAATATCGTTACATTGATCTTCGTTCGTCGAATATGCAAAGAAACATGCGGTTTCGTTCGTCTATAATACTGCAAATGCGGAGCTTTCTATGTCAAAATAATGGTATTGTAAATCTTTTTTAATTTACATATATAGGTTTTACTGAAATCGAAACTCCATATTTGTTCAAAATTACTCCAGGGGAAAGTGTTTGTATTAATTTTTGATTTCTTCAGGGTGCTCGTGAGTTTGTTGTACCTACCAAGTTTCCTGGATTATGGTATTGCTTACCTCAAAGCCCTCAACAATTCAAACAACTTTTGATGATAAGTGGATTTAGTAAATACATGCAGGTCGCTAGATGTTTTCGCGATGAGACTTCTAGGTCTGACAGACAACCCGAGTTTACTCAGGTTATCTTTCATTCTTCCTAACTTTTGTAGTTGGACATAGAAATGGCATTTATCACTCCAGATGATATTTATGAAATAATTGAGAATATGTTGTTATATATCTGGCCTACAGTTCAGAGTACTTCAGGTTGTCAGCCAATATCGACACCTTTTATGCGCATGCAGTATTGTGATGCTATGTCACGATATGGAAGTGACAAACCAGATGTACGCTTTGGTTTCTTGTTTTCATATTCCGCAGTTGATGGACACACCGGTTTCAATATACCAAGTAAATACGTAAGTATCTTTTTATGGTTCTTCACTTTCGAGGTTCTCAAAAAGCTTATATTTAGTTAGTAAATGCTAGGTTCGGTTTTCAGTAGAGAGAAAACTGGTCATCTGGACATTTCTGTATCATTTGAATACAGAGAAGTGCATTGATAATTTATCGATTTCATAGGTCAACAGCGGTAAAATGTTAAGATAATTTTTTCGAAATAGTTTCATCCTCAGAGTAATTTGGTACGTGTTAACTAACGTTGATGAATTGGTTATATCCCACTGATGACTTCTTTGTTGATGTTATCTTCTGATAATGGTAAAAAGATAATGGCTTTCCCAGCAATGAGAAGGTTGTTCGTTGTTTATCTCCATGGATCCACCAACGCTGATCAATGTATCAAAATTGATCCTGGTATTCAGAGTAGTAGTGAAAGCCCCACAGTTTCATCGGACTTCCATAAACGATTAATCTGATAACTAATGGGTTTTGAATAGTAGATAGAGACCCTTAGCAAAACATTTCCCACATACCTACTGTCATATTGACGAGATTTATTATCCTTAGTATCCGACATGCAATCTGCCAAAGGTTTGTCAAGGATAACAGAGAAAACTATGTATGAGTGCTGATTTTTTGATTGCGGTTTAAGATCGCAATAATCTTTCATATTTCCCCAACTCTCCTGGTTTTATTCAAGTGTCCGTATTTTTCTTTCACTTGGTTTCCTTTTTGTAGTGATTTCCTCCCACTTTTCTAATTAGAAACGTAGAAACCTCTAGCAGTTTGGATTTACTCCAGGTTTTTTATTGTTTACGGTGTATATCGTATGATATTGTCTTTCTTCTTCTTTCAGTCATCAAATTTAAGTGCTGAAGATTTGGATTCCTTGGAAGATTTGGTTTTTCGCCTAACCGGTCAAGTATGTCATATGTTTCTTCATTTTCCGCAGGGTATTTTTAAGTGCTTAATTTTATCACGTCTGATTTTACCCCAAATTTTACGCATGCTTATGAGTTCTAAACAAACCTTTCATGTTATGCATTTCGAAGAATCCACAACACCATAAAAACGATATCATCTCAGTCGGTCAGTTATAAAGCCGGGGACATGATTTCGTCAGTCCAAGTCTCCATACCACGTCTGCAAGACAAGATGAAATTGACAATAGGTAGGATAAAATTTTTCGAAGTAATGGTATAATCGGTAATAGCGAAAAGGATTATATACTGAAGAACGCTGTTCCTAGAGAACGGATTAACTCAAGGAATAAAAATTGCGAGTTGATTTTGAAGCTCAAGACTTGAGAGTCAATGAGTAAATGGATCTGTGTCATTTTTTGTTTCTAACCCATTCCATCTTTTGCCTTCAACCGCTAACCATGATTATTGTGCAGACCCCAACCACTTGGTTTACATTCACCAACACGACAGCAATTTACTTCATGGGCTGATAGTGTGTCTTCGGAAGTGTCAGCCTCTCACGTACCCCTATTAACAACAGAGCTTGTGTTTGTAAACTGCTATTTGGGATATGTGGGTTGTAATCTAGTTTTTGAAAACAATAACACTAGCTCATCAGTCGTCTAAAATTCCTATAGTGTTGGAGATGCTTAAAACAAACTTGTCTTATCAGAATCGATCGTACGTATTAATTGATTTTCAGTTAGTTTGGCAATCATTATCATTAAAACAAATGGTTTGTCTGTTTAAAATTTCACTTCATTGACTATTAGAAAATTAATTGGAGTTAACAGAAAACTTTTCGCTTGGTGAAATGCCAGTGTTATACCCTGCTTATTGCTATTCGGAAACTAGTCAGTTTGTATTAATCAGAAACACGAAAAGCTCTTTTTTCAACAAATTTATTATCCAGGTGTAAAATGTTATAACTTGTAGCCTTGTGCCCTTACCAATATATGACGTAATGATACCGCCAATTAAAAAACAGTGAATTATCGACGGGACCAATGATGCATAAAACAAGTACGAGCAGTCTAGAATCTTTATTGGTCCTTATTCCTGCCTAGCCCTGCCTGTTAAGTCCAGAACACCAAATCATACATATATACGATTGTGCAGCTTGATAATAGGTTCGTTGAGAAGGGATCCCTTCACTGAACTTCGTGTTTTTAATGTCTAAATGGGAAACTGTATTTAGTCGCAATTTGTTCACTTAATGTTTTGTCTGACTTCAATTTTGATTAGTGTTTCATCGGATTTGGCTAACTTATTTTCTACTACTTTTTTATATTTTGTAGAGAATATCAATTTTTACAGTTCAAAATATCAAGTCAAACCAGTTGGACTTACTAAATTTATTAAAACCAGAGTGTGGTGATTTAGTTGTCTTCATTAAAGGAAATACAGAAATTGAGGTAACAATTGCCTTTCAGACTGATTGGTTTTTGCCTACTAGTTAAAAGCATTGGGCATGGCACGAGTTGAAGTTGCTAAGCTTATTGATTCGAAAGGTGATATCCTTTTTTCATTTCATTATTTGATCAACTAGCTTTTATATAACATATATATATATATATATATATATATATATATATATATATATTATTTTAGTGGTAATTGCGTATTTTTCGAATGAGCAAACTACTTAATAAACTAATCAGTTGCTGGAGATTAACCAGAGTTAACAAGCCTATTCTTTGTCCTCCAAATGCTTAACATCAGTTAGAAAGTTACTGAGTCGGTTAAAGAAGTGTCAGTCCTCTATTTGAATACATTTATAAGGTCAACAAAGGACATAGTTTTCACCAGAGCTTTTCTCATCTTACAATCAAAATACCTTAATGCTCTTAAAGTATTTTACCTTATGTTATTTCCTATCAGGCGAAATTTAAACATTAACTTTTAGAGGAGCCTACAGATCACCATACTTTCATTTCCTATTACTTTGCTCCATCCACTTGGATTTAGTTATCCTTGCTCGATCTTCATGAATTATATGCATATGATTATCTTAAATCCTACTGCTGGATATATATGTAATTTCACAAAGCATTGATATTTTATTGTTGGTTTGTATCATTTAGTCTCTACCATTGGGCATATATTATATTGACATGAGATTTTCAGTCCTTGCCTCTGGTTTCAGGCAAAAGTAACTATATTACTTTTTTTCCGTTCATATTAAAGGTTTGTCAATATATGAACCTGGATTCCATTTTCTTTGGATAAATCAATTTCCATTGTTTGAAAAAAATAACTTAGGTATGTGTTGTAAGCAAAAAAGAAATGTATATTGTAGTGCATTGGTTTTATGCTAATTGTTGTGTTAATTAGTTCGAGAATAAATTAAATGTAATTAGGCTTCAAAGAAGATTCTCGCCTTTAATCTCGAGTTTTCTTTCGAATTCATTGTATTATGAACATGGTGAACATGGAAACATAATCCGTGAAATGTTCACTGTTAGTAGTCGGATTAATAAATCACTGACCCTACTGACATTTTGAAGACCGAGCACTAGAAAATTAATGTTGTGATTATAAGATCTGAAATTTCATGTATTGCTTTAAAAACTTTCACTTATTAATTGTAGTTCTGTATGTTGGAAAATATTAATATTTCCACTTGGAGAGACTAAGTTCTACTCTTCTGTAATATTAAAAGTTGTGTGAGACCTTTGAACGAATCTCAAGTGACCTTAAGAAATTGCAGCTAATCAGAAAACAGTTGGTAAGAGTTTATTATTTAAATCCAAAAAAATTAAAGTGAATACACTTTAACAGTTTAAAAAATTATCCAGATTAGAAAGAGGCCCTGTGCCTCTGAAATCGTAATACGGTACAGGAACTCATCTATGTGACTTTACAACAGTCAATCTCTGGATCCGTGATGAGGTCTCAGAGACTCTTTTAGCTTTGACCACATTGCTTCTATATTAGTGTGCACTACTGTGGTAGGGTCAACAAAATATCTCGTGAACGATGACAATAGTCGTAACCAAGTCTGGATAGGCATCGATATGCACTCCAGTGGTCCGTGTATCTTGTGGTACCTGGCTGCACACACTCCCGTATAATTAGTATCAGCTTTGTAACCTTTCAGTTTCTGAGGTTCTGAAAATGTCACTTGCGATGATCTATCATCTATACCAAAAACCTGCCAAGAATATCTAAGAAACTGCCACTTACCCAATCTTCTGTTACACTTTCTCTATTAAGTCTGCGTTTCCGAAAGACCGTCTCATCGATTTTCTCGTTTCCTCCAGACGAAAAATTCAACATCGTCATCTTTATTGAACATATGTCGCTATAATACTCGTACCACTGAACTGCTGAAGCTTCAGTAATATCTGAAAAGGTTGCAACCAGTATTACTGGTGCTCTTATAATTCAGTCTACAATTAGCACAACCTGTCTCAATGTCAATCGGGATTGACTCAAAAAAGTCCTCGTTCTTTCAGACTTCTTTCAATATATTTTACATCGAAATACCATGTCGCCCCGATAGTCTGCACACTGTTCAACAGTTATTTGAACTCCTCAATCATAAATAACAGAGGTTTTCAGTAGTCGCATCTGTTGTAGCGGCTAAACTTTGATGTCCTCTTTGAAATTCTCTGTAAACTGATTGTACATGTTCATTACATGTTGAAATATAAATGTCTGTGACCCTGGACTCGCCTACCCGATTCTTATTGGCTCATCCATGAATTACAGTCTCACCAAAATTCATCGCACAAATTACACCGAATGTTGTATTCCTTGATTTGAGTAGGTCGTTTATGAATTCTTTAATTTACAGGTATAATTACCATGTTTTGATATTATAATTTTGAACAAATTGAACATTGGGTAGATTGCTATGAATAAAATATTTGTAATATCCCAATGGGTTGAAAAATGAGATTTTCTGACGTTTCGTGACTCAGTGTAAGCTGCTTCTTCAGAGAATAAATAACCAAATTAACATTAACCCATGTTTAAATAGAACAACATGAATATTAGATACGATCAATCAAAAAACAGTTTATTATGGCCAGCCATGTCTTGTATTTTCGTAACTGTCCAGGATGAATTGTCTTATCATTGGATTGCACTTTGACTTATTAGTATCACCATTTTATTGTCTGTTTTACTGATTGGTCTGCATAATTTTATGACAACTTATGCCCACTACTCTTTCATCGCATGTATTATATTCCTTACTGCTTATTTCCTTTAGGTAAATGGAAATCAGTGCACCACCCGTTCACTGCTGCGTCACCAGAGACAGCACATTTCTTGTATACTGATCCGAGCAAAGTTATCGGTTTACATTACGATTTAGTTTGTAATGGTCAAGAGGTTGGAGGTGGTTCAATCCGAATACATAATCCTGAGGTGCAAAAGTATGTTTTTACCGAAATTCTTAAGGTAGAGTTCCTATATATATGGGTATAATCATTTTATTTCAGGAAAATTCTTGTGAAATGGAATACTTTTTAACTGCCCTGAATTCAGGAACTCCACCGCATGGTGGGATTGCGTTAGGTAAGTGGATGTTATATCCTTACATAGATTTTCTCTAGGTCTTGATCGTTTAATTGCAATATTTGTAAATGCCAAATCCATCAGAGATGTAATTGCTTTCCCAAAAGCAGCCGATGGGAAGGATCTCTTATGTGGGACACCAACTATGGTAGATGATGAAATCTTATCACAGTATTGCATTTCTGTTTCCAATCTTAATAAAAGTTGATTTCCAACTGATAATTTTAACCTTTCTAAATAGTGTTTGCTTTAGCAACATCACAGTAGTTTGGGTATAATTATTGTTAGGAATATTTTACCATCATGGTATCCTAATGTTTATGAGTATTGTAAATATAATTAGATTGTGTAAAAAACAAATTGTGTTTCGTGTTCTTGTTATAATACTCACTGAGGTGTGCCTTCAACAACAAAGATTTCTAATAATTATCGGAATTAGAAACTTTAATCAATTCACATCATTTTTGAAGATGGTACTCTCATTGCATTCATACTGCCATTGACCCCCATCTTAGCTGCGTCACGCACTAATTCAAACCATATCAATATTGCTCTGAATCTTGATAAATACTCGTAAGTAGAGTCTCAAAGTGTTATTTTTTAGATTGGGAATATTTTAAATCTAAACAGTGCAAAAACAGCAATGTCTAGGTTATAAAATAGGTTCATTCTATTTCATAGCTCCTCTTACTTACTTACGCCTGTTACTCCCAATGGAGCATAGGCCGCCGACCAGCATTCTTCAACCCACTCTACCTTTCTTTCTAGTTCTATCCGATTCTTATTCATTTTTCTCATGTCTGTCTCCATTTCTCGGCGTAATGTGTTCTTTAGTCTTCCTCTTCTCCTTTGACCTTCAGGATTCCATGTGAGGGCTTGTCTTGTGACGCAATTTGGTAATTTCCTCAATGTGCGCCCTATCCACTTCCAGCGCTTATTCCTGATTTCTTCCTCCATTGGAATCTGGTTTGTTGTCTTCCACAGTAACTTGTTACTGATAGTGTCTGGCCAACGGATCCGAAGTATCTTGCATAGACAACTGTTAATAAACACCCGTATTTTCTGGATTATGGCTTTCGTAGTTCTCCAAGTCTCCGCCCCATACAATAGAACTGTTTTGACATTTGTATTGAAAATTCTGATCTTGGTGTTGGTTGACAATTGTTTTGATTTCGAGATGTTCTTCAGTTGTAAATATGCTGTTCTTGCTTTGCCGATCCGCACACTCACATCTGCATCAGATCCACCATGTTCATCAATGATGCTGCCCAGATATGTAAAGGTTTTCACATCCTCTAAAGCTTCCCTGTCAAGTGTAATTAGATTGGTGCATATTGTATTGTATCGGAGAATCTTGCTTTTCCCTTTGTTCATATTGAGACCTACTGCTGCTGAGGCTGCTGCTGCACTGGTCATTTTCTCTGCATTTGTTGTTGCGTGTGTGATATAAGAGCCAGATCATCTGCGAAGTCTAAATCGTCCAGCTGCATCCTGCCTGTCCACTGTATCCCGTGCTTTCATTGTGAATCATAAAGAGAACAAGATACAGAACATATGATTAGATCTGGTTAAGATTGGTGCACATTTATGAGCTGAAAATGATACAAAATAGAAAGGGTAAAGTCACAGTTACTAATAATTTAATTTAACAGAAAATGATTACACAATTGTCATCAAAATAGTGAGCGAATGTATACATATGTAGTATGAGTATATTCCAAACAGAAATCAAATATCTGAATGGTAAAACTCCGTTTATGTTATTGTTACGTCTGGCCGATTGTGAACGCTATATTCGCTTCCCTAAGCTAGTTCCGTACCCCCGAGCTAGAACTGTACACCGACTTGAAGACCACAAAAAAGGCACAAAGTGTGAGGGAAGCACTTTACTACAGGGTTCATTTATGTACAGAAAATATGAGGGTTTTATAGTAATTTAAGAGTCCTTGAGTTCTACTGAAAATTCTAGAATACTGCTAAACATAGTAGCAGTATATTAATCAGCCAATCAGGATCTCCACATGTGACTTTTTCATTCTCGTTATTTTAGTAACATAACTTCACACAACTTCTAATTAACCGCTGATTGGTTGAAATGCTCCTTGATGACTCACGAGCTTGTCATGTCGCTTGCGAGAAAAATGCCGGGTCATCCCAACAGTTATAAATCCTAGTGAACTTGGGCCACAAAATCAGTTAATTGAAAGTGAAAAGTATCAGTCAGATAATATCAAAGGCCGCTGCAGGAATATGAATTAGAAGGCTTTTACCAATCTTATCATCTAAAGAAATGACTGACTTGCGATAAAATCTAGATTATAGATGAGAGGGGGTTTTGTGGAGAATTTAGTATTTTCACTGTTGAAATCATGAGTCAATTGAAGCTAGACCACCATCGAAAACCTGGAAGCACTGGACGGCCGTTTCCTTAACATTAACACCGTTGGATGTCGGCTCAGTGGTCTATCGGTTGAGGACTCTGGCTCGAGGCTGGTAGGTCCTGGGTTCGAATCTCGCGAGTGCGGGATCGTGGATGCGCACTGCTGAAACGGCCGTCCAGTGCTTCCAGGTTTTCGATGGTGGTCTAGCTTCAATTGACACATGATTTCAACTGCGAAAATCTAGATTGTCAGTATGGGATTGTGGAGGCTTAAGTTTTTCATTGAGCTCATGAACCGATTGGTGTTAGACCACCATTGAAAATCTGGAGGCACTGGACGGCCGGTTGGTCCTACTGTGGGACTCCTTAGCAGTGCGCATCCATGATCCCGCTCGCGGTGTTCGAACCCAAGGCCTCCGGTTTCGCGCAGATGCTTATCCTCTAGACCACTGAATTGGTCGGCATTCAACGGTGTTAATGTCTAACCTCAACCAATCCACGAAATTGCATGACCATTTTCCATTGTACTGAGGTAGATACCTGTGCGTACTCTACACGGATTATCTCCACCGGTCACGGTTTCTCACTAGAACTCTGAGAATTCCCTCACGAAGCTAGTCACTAGTGGGCACATGGTGGTGGATGCGCACTGTTGAAGAGTCCCACAATAGGACGGAATGGCCGTCCAGTGCTTCCAGATTTTCAATGATCGTCTAACACTAATCAGTTCATTATCTCAATCAAAAAATCTAGGTTATTTGAGCTCTCAGTATGAATTTGGAGAATAACAAGGTTATTACTTTTGATTTAGGCGCTTCTAGTTACTTACAAAATTAGCTCACCACTCTGTATCGTTTTCTCAAACTACTAACCAAGTTGTTTAATGGCCTAATATTACTGATTTACTAGCAAAATGTTTTAAGCAAAAAACTGTTTTTAGAAAGCTGTCATAGTAAATGAAATTCTCTATGAGAATATCTACGATTCCCAAACTTAGGGTTGATTGACTACAGAGCGGTGGCCAACCTCGTGTTTATCAATTCATAAGTGATAACCTAATTATATTGATCAAGTTGCATTGTGCCAAATAGATTATGTTACTCTACATCTCTAAGTTGAAATTTATCATAATATGCGTCCATATTTATTGAAATAAAAGGGGAAGATCCGTGTAAATCTATGCACTACGTTCTCCGTAGAAATCACTACATCTCTGGTGGCATTTCAAGCTGTTATGCTGCCTTGTTCATCCTCCAGCATTAGATTTCTTACACTGTGTTAGTAATAATCACTCCAAAGATGCCGCCTTCTTCAAAACCAACTATTCTTTGTCATCACTCAGCTTTTTATGATGTGTGATAATAATTACACTGTTGTCATGAGTTGAGATCTGTTGGCTATACTTAGATATTTAAGTTGTTTTTTTCACTTCTTGTGCCAGACCCCAATTGGAGGACTTCAACACTGTCACGTTTATCAACGAATCCATAGGCATTATTAGATGACTGAACTGATGAAGACTTTTGGCTATTGTCTAAAAGTAATCTTACCGACGAGATGTTTGGATAAAACTAGGATGATGATTGTTGATCAATGTGTCTATAATGTATTCTGGGTTTATTTGCAATTCTGTTAGATCTCAGTTGTTCAGCAATCTGATTTTTATTTTCTTCATCTATCGGAAATTCATAATTATCTAAAGAGTCATTAGTAATGGGAATCATTAAAATTAATGTCGGAACTATCTATCTAAAGTTCAGATTTAGGATTAGTTCGAAGATGATCAGAATTAAAATTGTAATCACTTAATTAATTAATTAATCTCCACTTTGTTTGTATATCTGCTGTGAATTGAATGGTCGTTTAAATGAAGGATCTCGACCATCCGACTACTCGTTCTCTGAGTCATAATCCTTGTAGATGGTTGGTAGTTATTTTCTCACTAAAATCGAACTTCTGATAATGTTTTGTTCACTGAGTTCGAAGTATGCGAAGTTTATACAATTAGTTCCCTAATTCTTAATCCGCCTTTCCTCACACACGTATATATATAACACATAGAAATTTATATTTGATTATCCTTTGCAATTAATTGAGAATTTTGTTGCATCATTCTAAATTATTGTTGCATAGATGTTTATACTAATATCCAGTTTTACTCTATATACTATTACATAAATCTACATGTATTTATCCGAGCCCAGTGAAGGTTGTTATTCTGTTTAAATTGTTGGGTTACTTCTGAGGTCAATATTTATTACACTATTATTATTATTATTATTATCATCATGGATGAACCCTTTCACACTAGGTGTTCATCACTTTTCTCTTTCCTTTTTTTCTTTCTAAATCAAGATTATTCTTAAGACAATAACTTGTAATCACAATTGATTGATCACCACCCAGTGATCAATCAATTATGATTACATCTCAGTCCTACAGGAGGTTGGTCGCGGCCCGAATAGCTCAGTGGTAACGTCTCTGACTGTGAAGCTGAGTGACGCGTGATCGAATCCGCCAGGGAGCATCAGTTCCCTCAGGACTACAGGTACACCTTGCTGACGAGTGCCAAGTAGCACGAAACCCGGGCTCAGAGTTTCCTGCTTACCACCTCCAACCACCATCTTATCTCACAATAACTTGTGTTACACTTAAACCAACTTCTTATACTCATTTTATCTTCACTTTGACATATATGAATCAAGTTTGTTTGACGTCCTGGTGAAACGTACTATAGGACTGATCCCTAGAAGTACGATATATGAATCATACATAACAATATTTGATTATCGTTTGTACTTAATTGACACTTTCATAGTATCACTCCAAACTATGACTGCATAGTCACATATTCTACCATCATATCTGGTGATACATACATAGTTGTTTATACTTGTTCTGTATTGACAAATATGCTTAATAAACTATTGACATATTTCACGTCTTCTTTATTTCTTTTCACTTCTTTTCTCCATTTCCTTCGTGAGAGTCAAATCAATATTCTTCTCTATTTCATAGAACCTGATTAATTATTATTCTATCATCATTATTATCATTTTTTTTTTCAAATATGGCAAATATAATGCCAACATTATTGAAACTTGTGTATTCTAAGTTTTTCGAAGAAACCTGAAATGGTTTCTTCACAACACTTTTGTACCCATAATGTGTTTGCATATAATAATAATAATAATAACTAAAGATACTCTCACCATTCGAACTGCTACTGTCGAAGGATATGGTTTTTCTGGAA